CAGGGTGCCGTCAGCCAGACAGTGCCGGCTGGCGACCCCAAGGGGGAGGGCCTTCTCTGTGGGAGCCCCCACCCTCTGGAACGAACTGCCCCCAGAGATCAGGGTGATCCCTGATCTCCCTTCCTTCCGCCGCGCCCTCAAGACGTGGCTGTTCCAACTAGCGGGACTGGCCTGAGGGATTTTAAAGGGGGTTTTAATTGCTTTTAAATTGGACATATTTAAATATTTCGTTTTAATCAAATTTTAATTAAGTATGTATATATGTTAGTATTTTATTCAATTGTCAGCCGCCCTGAGTCCGTAAGGAGAAGGGCGGGATATAAATGCAATTAATAAATAAATAAATAAATAAAATAAATAAAAGGTGAGCCAGCTGTGTGCGGCAGCAGCCAAAAAAGCTAATACAATTCTTGATGGTATAAAGAGAGGCGCAGAATCAAAATCAGCTGAAGTATCCGTACAGCTTTATAAAGCCATAGTAAGGCCACACCTGGAACGCTGCATCCAGTTTTGGTCCCCACATTACAAAAAAGTTGTTGAGACTTTGGGAAAAGTGCAGAGAAAAGCAACAAAGACAATTAAAGGCCTGGAGACAAAAACATACGAAGGATGGTTGTCAGGATTTGTGTATGGCTAGTCTAGAGAAAAGAAGGACTGGGGGGGGGGAGACATGATAGCAGACTGACAATATTTGAGGGTCTGCCACAAAGAGGAGAGGGTCAATTTATTTTCCAAACCCCCTGAAGGCAGAACAAGAAACAATGGATGGAAATTCATCAAGGAGAGAAGCAACCTGGAATTAAGGAGAAACTTCCTGACAGCGAGGATGATTAACCAGTGTCTTCAGAAGTTGTGGCTGCTCCCATCACTGGAGGTTTTTAAGAAGAGACTGGACAGCCACCTGTCTGAAATGGTATAAGATCTCCTGCTTGAGCAGGGGGTTGGACTAGAAGACCTCCAAAATCCCTTCCAGCTCCATTCTGGTTGAGTGATTCGCCAGCTGGCTTCAACAGGGGACAGCAAAAAATTAGTCCAATCGCCATGATTTAACTTTTAGACTTGAGACACTTTGGTGATTGAGAGTTTCCGTCGAAACACCCGGAGGCTTCAACTGGTCCGTCGAAACACCCGGAGGCTTCAACTGGTCCAGAATGCGGCTGCGCGGGCGGTGTTGGGAGGGACTCGTCGCTCCCATGTAACACCGCTGCTGCGCGAGCTGCACTGGTTGCCGGTGGCCTTCCGGGTGCGCTTCAAGGTGCTGGTCATCATCTTCAAAGCGCTCCATGGCATCGGACCTGGATATCTCCGAGACCGCCTTCTGCCACAGGTTACCTCCCATCGGCCAGTACGCTCCCACAGAGTGGGTCTCCTCAGGGTGCCGTCAGCCAGACAGTGCCGGCTGGCGACCCCCAGGGGGAGGGCCTTCTCGGTGGGAGCTCCCACCCTCTGGAACGAACTACCCCCAGAGATCAGGGTGATCCCGGATCTCCCCTCCTTCCGCCGCGCCCTAAAGACATGGCTTTTTCAACAAGCGGGTCTGGCCTAGGGAATTTTAGTGGCGTTTTTAAGGGTAATTTTAAGGGTAATTTTAATGATTGGCCTTTCGAATATTTTCTTTTAATTTGGTTTTAATGTGGATATTTATTGTACTGTTGTTTTATAAGGCTGTTAGCCGCCCTGAGTCCGGTGAGGAGAAGGGCGGGATATAAATCAAATTATAAATAAATAAAAAATAAAGATATGTTTTAATGCATTTTGGGGAAGAAACCCCTGAAATTGGTGTGGCAAGGGATGGTACATTCTAACAACTCTCTGCCTCATTTTCTCGGACTGATAAAACTGCTTGGATGAGCAGGTCTCAGACTAACACAAATATTACTTGCCATGATTTAACTTTTAGATTTTAGGCCAGTGATGGCGAACCTTTTAGAGACCGAGTGCCCAAACTGCAACCCAAAACCCACTTATGCATTGTCGGGTGCCCGGTGGGTGTGGCCCATTGGGTGGGCGTGGCCCATTGGGTGGGCATGGCTGCGGTGGTAACAGCAGACTGGGTGGGACTAAAAAGTTCAATCAATCAATTCCAACTTTGCAAGATCTTTTTTTTTCCCCATGAGAAGTTGAAATTGACTAATTGAACCTTTTTTTTTGCACACGGCGGCGGAGGCCTAAAGCGAAAAGGTTTTATAAAACTCAGCTGAACGCCTAGGACTGGGGCGACGGCGCGCGTGCCCACAGAGAGGGCTCTGAGTGCCGCCTCTGGCACCCGTGCCATAGGTTCGCCACCACTGTTTTAGACAGTTGGATGATTGAGAGTTTTCACCGATATAGGCCAGGATTCCCCAATTTTTCCGCCTTTGTAGATGGGCGAGGGGTGGGGGGCACGGTATTGCACCAGCAGCCGGTAAGCACCACACAGCTCCATTTTCATCAGCGGCGGGCACACCCGCACACCACACGCGCAAATGGAGCATGCACGCATGCGCTCGCCCGTTGCTTATGCAAGTTGAGGCATGTAAGCACGTGCTCGGCCACCATGTCTACAGCCCGGTTCCCAATTGCTGACAAACCGATAGTGGGCTGTGGCCCGGGAAAATTGGGGACCGTTGATATAGGGGCCCCTCCCGCTTCCTTCTTCCTGGGCGTGAGACAAACCTGGGCTATTCTATGATGTTGGAGCTTGATCACCCGGGAGACGGCCATCTGCATGCTGCCGAAGACGGCCACCACCTCCAAGATTTTGTCATCGAACGATGGCGCCCCGAAGATCTGGTGGGAGAAGAAAAAAGTTTCACGTCTTGTTTCAACAAAATGAGTTTCAAGGTGGAGAAAAGCAAAGGTTTACATTTAGGCAGGAAAAACCAAAGGTACAAGTACAGACTGGGCGAGGCCTGGCTTAAAAACAGTAACTGCGAGAGGGACCTTGGAGTCGTAGTGGACGATCACTTGACCATGAGCCAGCTGTGTGCAGCAGCAGCCAAAACAGCTAATACAATCCTGGGTTGTATAAACAGAGGCATAGAATCAACATCACATGAAGTATTAGTACTGCTTTATAAAGCCTTAGTAAGACCACACCTCGAATACTGCAGCCAATTTTGGTCACCAGAAATGGTATAGGTTCGCCTGCTTGAACAGGGGGCTGGACTAGAAGACCTCCAAGGTCCCTTCCAGCTCTATTCTATTCTATTCTATTCTATTCTATTCTATTCCTATTCCTATTCCTATTCCTATTCCTATTCCTATTCTATTCTACTCTATTTCTACTCTACTCTACTCTACACTACTCTACTCTGTTCTATTCTATTCTATTCTATTCTATTCTATTCTATTCTATTCTATTCTACTCTACTCTACTCTACTCTACTCTACTCTACTCTACTCTACTCTATTCCTATTCTATTCTACTCTATTCCTATTCTATTCTACTCTATTCTACTCTATTTCTACTTACTCTATTCTATTCTATTCTATTCTATTCTATTCTATTCTATTCTATATTTCTATTCTATTCTATTTTCTATTTATTTTCTCTATTCTATTCTATTCTATTCTATTCTATTCTATTCTATTCTATTCTATTCCATTCCATTCCATTCCATTCCATTCCATTCCATTCCATATTTTCTATTCTATTCTATTCTATTCTATTCTATTCTATTCTATTCTATTCTATTCTATTCTATTCTATTTCGGTATTTGCATTCTGCTCCTGACATCATTCAGGGATTAGGTCTTTCGCTCTGGGATATAAAGCAACATTCCTTAAATATCAGAGAAGGTGGATGCTTGGAACAGAACTGTAATATTAAAGGTCACTCCCGAAGTATTTGAGAGAGTTGCTGTTCACGAGGCTGGGACTGGAATCTTTCATCCGTATATGAGAACATTTGGGCTGTTCGAAATGCCAAAGCTACACGTGCCATTTGTCAAACTTATTTTCAGCAGGAGAATGAAAACAGCTTCTCTGTCCACAGCCAAAGGTCCCCTTTGCAGCCCGAAGCAAAACTCAAGTCAAAAAATATACAGGTTCTCCTTGACTTACAACACTTTGTTTAGTGACCGTTCAAAGTTATGACGAACTGAACAAAGTGTTTTATGACCAATAAAAGGAGAATATTTGTAGCTCAGGGCTGGCATGAGGGGTCCTTGGTGCTCTCTCAGCTTGCTTGTTTTCTTGCAGACATTTCCTTAGCCTAACTAGGTAACGTCATCAGTGCTGGAAGGGAGCGGGGTTTGTGGAGAGGAGGAGGAGGAGGAGGACTGTGGGGTCCTGGGTGTTCTCTGAGCTTGCTTGTTTTCTTGAAGATGTTTCATTACCCAAACTAGGGAACATCATCAGTGCTAGGAAACAGGGAGGAGGAGGAGGAGGAGGAGGAGGAGGAGGAGGAGGAAGAGGAGGGGGAGG